ACACCCAGGGCAGAGAGTGGGGCGTGAGACCTCAGAGGTAGTGAGGGGAAGCAGAGTCTCAGAAGAGAGTGTGTTTTGGGGGGACGGAGAGAGATCAGAATTTACTCCTCCCCTCTGCACTGCCTGGTGGACACCAGCTAGCAAAGGCCACATTGGTGGACCATGAGGCCACTTGCACCAGGCCCACGGTGAGCTTGGAATTGCCTGCAGCAACTTCTAGAAAACATCAAAAGCAAGTTGACAGAGCCTGAGTTGTGAAATCAACTAGGAGGCGGGCCCCCAGGAAGGGACAGATGTGGCCCAACACCTGCTACCTGGTCTGGTATGGGCAGCTTCGGGCAGTGAATGGGGACTTGGCTTCGAAGGCAGCTCTCGTGGGGAGTAGCTGAGTCCCCGTGCCCAGCAAGCGTGCTCTCTGTACCGCGATACCCCATCTGTGACATGGAGGCAACAGCAGCCCGTGTTTCACTGGCTTTCTCAGTCATGCGGCGCCAGATGGGCTGAGGGACGCTGAGATGCTCAGAAACAAGGGCCCGTGGCTGCAGGACCTACTGACATTATTGGACTGGAATTACCAAGACACTCCTGGATCAACTTCCAACAGGAAAAGAGTTAAAACAAAAGGGGCTTCTGTCTCTCTTTTAAAGTAGAATTTCTACCTGTGGGAAAGATTTTTTTTTTTTTTAAAGATTTTTTTTATTTATTTGAGACAGAGAGCATGGGAGGGAGGAGGGTCAGAGGGAGAAGCAGACTCCCTGCCGAGCAGGGAGCCCGATGTGGGACTCGATCCCGGGACTCCAGGATCATGACCTGAGCCGAAGGCAGTCGCTTAACCGACTGAGCCACCCAGGCGCCCTATGGGAAAGATTTTTAAAACATGTTTTTAAATTTTAATTTGTCGTGTTAATTTCTAAAGCACAGTAAACAGAAAAATGCAATGAAAAAGCAGACGGAGGCGTAACATTATCCATCCTATTGCCATAAATATGTATATTCTGTTTCTGGGTCTCAGGAAACTTGTAGAAGGAAGGAATTAACCAGGATCTCGTCTCCTAATCTCAATTTCTCATAACACAGGAGCTGCTGGTCTAACCTATTCCCAGATGAGTAGGACCAGCTACATAATAAATTACTGAACACTACATCTGCAACTAATGATGTACTATATGTTGGCTAATTGAATCTAAATAAATAATCAAAAAAAAATTTGCAGGGCCCAGTGCAAAAATGAGAACATGGGACCCCTTTTTCAAAAACGATCATGAAGAAATCCAAAGTGGTGACAACCAAGCCCGGGGCCCTTCTAAGTGTGAGGCCCTTGGTGACTGTGTGGGTCCCCTGCCCATGAAGCTGGCCTTGCTGATGAGGTAGGGAATGGTTGGGGACATTCTGGACTCACGCATGCTAGTCAAGATAAGTCACAACATTTCTGCCTTGTTTTTATTCATTACCAAACATTATAATTAAACAGCTCCATCCCTCATCCTTTTTGGAGTTTATTTTCTCTCGATATGCAAACAGAAATGGTTTTAAGTAAGGCTGGGATTCCAGTGTAAGTAATCCTTCCAAAAAATACAAATGCGTATGTGCCTATTAAAACGTGAATGGAAGCTCTGTATCGGGAAAGTCAACTTGAGCTCATTGATTTTATTGACGGTGTACAGATTTTGATATATTGCATTACAATACTGACTGCTAGATTTCTTATAAAGATTTAGTTCATATTTACTCTAGATGTTTTCTTCACAATAAACTCATGCCAGTGTTTAGGAACAAACAGCATCAATTCATTCAAATTTAATGACAATTTTATTAAACCTAGAATCTCATATCACAGAGCATTCACAGTGCGGGAGGTCACAGTTATTGAAAAAATAGTGAGATAAATATATTATTTACAACTTTTCAACTCATTGCTCCTGCTTTGTTAGAATGAACAAGGATGGTGGTGTTCAGTCCAACATGCCAGAAATGTCTTGGGGGCAGGGGGACTCAAGTGACATATAAGAGCCCCAGAAGTTCTTGGTTTTGATCGTTTTTAAGGGGGTTCTTCCTGGACACGAGAGCCCCTGATTCTATCTACCTGCTGTTTGGTAGGTCATGGCCGGACCCCAGGGAAATCCCATGGTCCTGCGGAAACTATACCCAGCCTGCCTCTTGGGCATCTGGGATGTGCCCAGCCTCTCTCCTCGCTTGGCCCTTTTCTTGGCAGGTCCTCCCCTGCCCACCGGCCTGGCCCCTCTGGTGGGCAGCACTCTCGCCTCTCCAGGTCATCAAGGCTCTCTTTGTGTTCACCCAGCAACTACTCCTGGCTGGCAGCTGATGGCCAGGAGACACATGCAGAAGGCACCTTGCTCTGAATTGGACATCCAGCCGCCCAGATTAGCAGCTCCCTGAAGAAGTTCCTCAAGAGCTGGCCCCCAGAGGCTCAGCCACAGCTCTGTCTGCTGGGTCCCCCAAAATCCGTGGTCTAAGCCATGTCTAGGAAGTCCCAGGAAGCGTTCTACAGCTCAGAAGGGCACCTCTGGAGGTGAGGACAGGGATGCCCCACTGGCCAGAAAAAAAAAAAAGAACCCCCTAGAACATTTGATTTGGAAAAACGGAGCTGCCTGGCTCACACCCCAGTCATTTTCAGTGTGAGGAAGGCCTTGTTCCTTCTGTTAAAGGAGACAGTCCATCTGGATAATTGGGAATTTCTATCTTGGGAATTCTGGGGTGGGAGCAGGGAGGGTGCTGTTGTCTGGGACCCTCCTTTTATGCACAAAGGCTGATCGTACCAGACCACACAACTCGAAACCCCAAACTGCCCATACTTTCTCTCGATAGCTTAAAAAAATTGTTTTCCAGTGATGGGGTAGGGAGGGTACATACCTTCTCCAGGATTAAGGGTTTTATTGGCCTTGACCATGGAAAAGTCCCAACCAACATGTTGCATAAAAAGCAACTGTTGAAATTCTGGCAACAGTGGGAATAGGTGTGGATTATGTCCAAATTTGCCATCAGGCTTTTAACCAAGGAGCAACCAATCCCAGACCCACAAATCTAATAATGGATAAAGCTACACAACCAAGGGCTTGACCATCACGGGGATGCAGTGGGCATTTTCAGCTCTCAGAGCTGCCCCCCATCGCCCCCAGGTCTGTCTCGGGGGTATTCAGACCCCAGACATTTCCTCAGACTAGAAGGGACCATGTTTTCAGCTGCTGCTTCGAATCTTGTGGAGGAACCAGCTCCTGAGCCCTGGACATGCACACACCTGTACGAGGTGAGGGAAAACCCTGGAAACATGAAGATAAAAGATGACACAAAGCAGGACCACCAGCCCCTGGCAGTGTGTGAAGATTTAGCAGAGACAAATGGAACCAGGATACTATTTGTCATTGAAAAATTAGAATTAAAAAAAAAACAACTCCCTAAAATATCAAAACTTTAATACCAGCCAGCTGGCTTCCTTGTTGCAATGGAAAAAGCAGCTCTACCCAGGTGGCAGGATGGGGAAAATGCGCCTCTTCTCCCGATTTTACGTGGACACCCGGTTCCTCGAGTTTGGGCAGCATTGTGACAGGCTGGATGGTCTCCCTTCGGCTACTAGGCTTGAGGGATGGCCTGACACATAGCTAGTCTCCCAGTCTGCTATTCCTCATTGAGAAGCAAATACAACAACCTAAATGTCTTTTAAAAATCTGTGCCCCTGTGGTCTGTGCCCTTTGGGGAACGTTTTCTACAGTTCTCTGCCTTGTAGGGATGGATCCATGGAAAGACCCCCTCGTTCTACTGCCTGCATGACTGATGCAGTGGGAAGGTTTACCCAGTGCTGGAGGGGCCCCTTCTCTGTGCTTTGAGAAGGTCCGGAGGGAGACTTGAGGGGCTCAGGCGATCAGCTGCAGCAACCGGAAGAGCCAGAATGTACTTGTCCACACCTGGTGGGGGTGTCCAGACACTCTGGGTGAACCCACATAGAGCGGGCAGGGGTCAGGGAGGCAGCACTTTGGGTGTGTGTGTGCCGGGGGGTGGAGGGAGATGACAGATTTCCTGCCACCCAAGAGGTGCCCAGAGAGCATTTTAAAAAATTTCTGGAAGTTTCTATGAGCACAATGTGGCAACAAAGCTGCCAAGACGTGAACCATCTCAGGTGCCCTGGACACCTCTGCTAACTGCCCCAAGGGGAGAAAGACACACAGAGATCACGTTCAGAGGGCATTAGACTTGGGAACATTTAAGTCACGGCGCGTGGGAAACAATCTCCTGAAGATTTTCAGCCTAACAGGCAAGTTCCTGGTTTATTTAAGCAACAAGCTCTTGTTGAGAGCCTGTCACATACGCAGCCCAGTCATCTTTTCCAATCAAGGAGGAACATGGCCCGTGAGGGAAGGAAAGGGGGGTGCGGTGGAAGAGAAGGGACCACCCCCCACCCTCAGTGCCCACTCAGGGTCAGGGCCATGGCCCCGTCAGAGCACCACCCCCACTGGGGAGCACCAGCCCAGCTGCGGCATCTCTGCTTCCCTCCTGCTGAGCCACAGGAGAAAGTCCCCACACGCGGCAGGGAGCACCTACACTGTTCCCGCACCTGGACCCCACTGGCCCATCTCATGCCGGGGGAAGGAGGGCAGGGCACGGAAGCAGCTTCAGCCGCTGGTGCTGGGGTTCTCCCCCACTTCCGTCCTGCCCCGGGGGGTACAGAACTGACCCTCTCCCAGGCCATCTCACCTCTGTCCACCCCCACCTTCAGGAGAGGGAGGGGCCCCAGGACTCTGGCAGGACAAACATGTCAGGCTTGTGATTCTTCATCCGAGGGGGCAGTTTCTTCCTTGGGGACCTAGACCCCTGGGCAGCCCAGGAGGGGTTCTTTGGTTGGGGTCTGTCGGACTGCCCTAGAGTGATGGGCATGCCCCCCGACCTGGTTTAACCTGGCTCTGGGAGGGTTCTGCCTTATCAGCTGCTTGGGTCTGTAAAAGCAGGGGATCAACAGGCAGAAGCAAGACGTAGCCCTAACAGGTGTGTGTGTGGGGAGGGGCGACGAGCAGCGAGGTCTGTGCACGCGGGCGAGATTCAGAGACCAGCAGACTGCAGGTTACGGGAAGGATGATGACTCTGCCCTGCCCTGCCCGCGGTGCCCTTCACCATTAGTCTTCCGCCCAGCTGACTCAGAACCTTCCTCCAGGGTCAGGCTTTCAGACACCACACACCTAACAACCCTGTCTGTGCTTGAGCTGGTAAGGGCAAATTCCAAACTAGAAACTGACGGGAACCACCTGCTCCGGATTCTACAGACATTTTCCATCTCAGTGCCATAGTTCATCTTTTTCTTTCCTGCTCCCAGTTAGAAGAGCTGAATTTATTTTTTTGTATTGCCTATTTCTGAAGCAGAGTAATTACCTCGTGCTAATTAGCTTTGGGAATAAAATAAAGGACGTAATCCTGTGTAGTGATAAAAGCATTATTTTAAAGTGAAGGCCTAATTAACAAGCAATTCTTTAAACTGGTGATGGAAAAATAGTTAAAAAAGAGAATTATTCACCTATAATGTATATATAGTTTCCTAGATACAATAAATACACAGATCCTTTAAGGAAGTTACATTGGCACATTACAGTCAAGAGAGAATTAGCCAGCAGGAGTGCTCTAGGTACTAGAATAGAAACACTATTATCTTTTTCGTCTCAAACTGCCACTGTAGGATACTGTATCCTCTCAGATGGACTCTCCTGAGGAAGAGGCAGGTAATTAGGATGTGTTCTCTAGAAGCTACGCAAGGATTCAGAGAAGTGAATCCAGCACGGACATCACTGGGGGCCACGTGGCCTGTGCCTTGTAGATAAAAATATCTTTTGGTCTTTACCAGGAAAAAAAACAGGGGCACCAGATAGGGACAGCTATTAGGATCTGAGCTGGGGCACCGGGAGTCAATTAAATATTTGCCGAAGTTTTAACTTAAACAGTGAGAACCAACCACAAGGGTGAGGCTAGGCCTCCGCCCACCCCCCACCAAGGATGGCCAACCCACTGGCCGCCCAGGGAGGGGTGATGAGTAGTGTTCTGCTACTTACTGACTGCCTAGAGTCACCCGACCTCTCCCAAGACTACATTTTCTGTTAAACGGGGAGAATCACCCCTATGGACATCAAAGGGCAATTCTGAGAACTGAGATGGAGATGGACACACTTTGAAGCCCAGATGAGGCCGTTAAGACCAAAGGGACACGGTGAGCTATGCTGAGAGGTCCTGGGGCTCTGAACTCCTGCGCTTGTCAAGTTTATACCAACAATCCCACTGGCCTCCCACTTAGCTAATTTCTTAGGAAAATCACCTTTGCCCTCAACTTGAAGACCACTGAACCCAATCTAGGTAGAGAAACAAAAGAGGAACCTTGGTGTGGCGTAGCTGCTGACACTGATGCGGATCCAGAACAGAAGCCTGGGGACCGAGTTCCCTCCTGTCTTAGGCTCACGCTCGCTGAAAGGACACAGACGCGAGCACTTCCTCCTTTGAAATTCAGGAGGCCTTAGCAAGCACAGCCACGAAGTCTACCTCAGGTCACAACCTTTGGGTTTCAGGAGGGAGTTAGCTATTGTATTTCAGCTCATCACCCATGACTGATTATTGGTGAATCACTAAAACCCTTCTTTCCTCACCCTATCTGGGCCAGTTCCCACACATTCTTCTAGGCAGAATACCCCAGTTATTAAAAGTGCATCAAATCCGATAGACTTTTGCAATAGAAATATTAAAAAAATAAGAAAAAACCCCCTCTATATAAAGCGAATTGTGCTTTCTTTTTAGAAACCACGGATGGTTTGTTCATAAATCTTTTTAATACAGATCTGAGAGGTACGAAGCAGGTGAAAATTGTTTAGTATTTTTTTTCTCTTTGTGACTCCGCCTCTCATCCTTGGCCCTTCACGGGCAGCCAACTCTAAGGCTCAAGAAACTTAGCTCTACAAAATGCCAAGTTATGGTTTTCATACTTGCCTCCCGGGAACAGAGAGCAATTTTTTCCCCCCCCAGGAAATCTCTCTTCTCGTTTTTACCCCTTACGTGTGGCTCACTCGTTCCAGTTCAGCAGGCTATGAAATTTGCTGGGCATAGAGACAATCGGGTCTTGCAACAGGGTGGCTTATGAGAGGAGAGCACTTAACAAAGGGACGACAACCCCACATGGACGTTGTGCCTCATCACACAGAAGGTCTGGACTGTAGGGCCGCAAACTACCATCTCCGCCGCGTCTCTGAATTAGCACCCAGGTAGATGTTAGTCTTTCGTGCTTTTCTATATTCCAAACCGAACGTCCTGGTGTCAGCGCAACACGATACACATAGGGTTCGTTTTCCATGGAGTGTTACCTTTTTTGGTCCTCAGCATGGCCTTTTTGTATGGAATGCTATTTTTTCAAGTATGATGATCTACAGGACATTTTATTTTTAATATTTCATCGCTTGTTCTCTGAATGCCTCAATACAAGTGACAAGGAAGTTCACGTGTGTTTCTCCTTTTGGCTGTGAGACGCTTTCAAGTCTTCCGATTTTTCCAGAGAAAGGGGTGGAGTGTTTGCCCTTGGGGGGCCCCCTCCAAACGCTCAGCAGGGTGAGGCCTTGTCCCCTCCAAACTGTGAGTGCTCCTAGCCGAGGTCGGAGGCGCACATGCGGCCTGAGGGACTCACACCCTCCGGCCCAGAGGTGACACTTGAGAGCGACATTCCCGTTTTGCACTTGTCCCAGGGGACCTCCCGTTCTCCTGGCCGCCTCACTCCCGAGGCGACAGAGAGACACATTGCACATGGAAGTCCTCACTACAGTGTCTGAGAGAGGAGAGGGGCCCGCCGCACCCCTGTGGCTGCCAGCTCAGGGGGCTGCCAGGCGGCTCGGCAGCGGCCCCTCAGTCTTGCCTTGCGTGGGGAGGGCAGAGCTCCGAGGAGGAGGAGGCCACCGCCCAGCGGCCCGGCTCGTGACCAGACGACGAGCACGACGGCCCTTCCTTCCAGCGTGTGGAAGAGCAGAAGGTGACCACCGAGGCAGGAGAGACTGGCGGTGGGGCAGGGGAGAGAGCGAGGACACCGGCGCCGGAGAGTCCAGAACAGCTCCCGGGGCTGCGGGGAGAGGGGGTGCAGCGCCTGGGCTTTAATTGTCTTCTTGGCACATGGGCAAGTTGACGAAGGTGAAGACGTTAAACTCGATCATGATGGAGAAGCACAAGAAGACAGCGTAGAGGGCCAGCACGCAGACGCCCAGCTTCCGGTCAAGTCTCCACTTGTTGAGATGGATGCCGAGGACCTGGAGGGACAGAGCGCAAGGATGGGCCCGGGGGTGGGGGTGGGGGGGCAGAGGAATGAATGCAGTTGTCCAGGCATTTTCCCTGGAAAACTAGACACACGCTACGGACCCCAGAACTTTCTCCAAAATGTGGGCAAGGGCAGAGTGTCACTGCAAGGCACATCCGTGGTCCGGTCTTGCCCTTGACCCAGGCCCACAGGCTCCAGGGACACATGGCAGCTGCCCCCGTGGGACGGCCCACCTCGAGCTGGCACACCACTTCCTGGGGACCTGAGTGTCCTCAAGGCCCAGCCCGGCACCAAGGGCCTCCTCCCTGCCCAGACCTTCTCTCGCGACAATCAGGGAACCTTCTCTCGTGACAATCAGGGACCTTCTCGGAGTCCTCTTTGCTGCAGAACTTGGCATCCTCAGCCCTCTTAGGCAAAACTTCTAATGCATCTATTGGCTCACAGCCTGGCTAACTTCAGGGGTGGGGGGGGCGGGTGGTATGTGTGTGCGTGTGTGCACGTGTGTGTGTGTGTGTTTGTAACACATCCTCATTCTACATTCCTTCTAGACTCTCCCGCACTTCATGCCTTTCTTTCTTATCTCTGAATGGAGACTTCCTAAGGGCTGGATCACAGTTACCCCATCAGAGCAAGGCCATGGGTTCTATAGAGACAGACCGATCTGGGTTCAAATCCCAGCTTTCCCATTTCCTACCCCTGTGACCTTGGGCAAGGTACTCAACCCCTTGGCCTCGATTTCTTCTGCCAAATGGGAACAGCATCATCACGTGGCTGTAAGGATTGAATAAAATAAGCAGAGGTACAGTGTGTAGCTCAAGCCCGGGCGCGTGGAGTAAGGCGACCTCAGCATTACTCACGTGCCAGTCCTGAGGCCTGACAGTCATGTCCCCCCTCTGTCAGCTTGGCTAGGCTGGGGGAAACTTCTCTCCTCCTGGCAGTAGTGAGGGGAGACGGATGGGGCAGTGGGGAGACCGGGATGCAGTTCACTTGCTCTGGTGACTTCTTAGTCACTCGGGGAAAAATGTAGTGGGGGGGGGGTGCCAACGTTCTGGGTGCAAACTGCGTCTGGAGGGCTCTGTGAATCTGTGTTTTCTCAGTGTCATCCCTCGCTGCCAGAGGGAAGAGAGATGGGTTTCAGAGACATTGCAAGTAACGATGCAGGATCAGATGGAATGAAGGACAATTCCAGAACCGGAAGACTCACAGTGAGAGCGACAGAGCCCAGCAACAACACCACGGAATAGACCAGACCCCGGCTGTTGATCTTCACCTGGAAAAACAAACACACACGCCCTGAATCTCGGGGCTGCTCGGGGCCCTGTTCTGAGAGCCCAGGGCACCGTCGTGTATTCCTTCTGGAAAGCATAGGATAGGGTGTTCACGGTGAGCCTGTAGTGCGGGAGGGTCAGCTAACCGTGGATTTAAGTCTCCACTCTGCTTGGGAAGGAACCGATGAGGAGGGGACACACGTGTCCGTGGGCTGAGGTGTGGGGTGGCTGCACATGGGGGCTTCCTCCTGCAGGTGCCCCTCAGGCTGTTCCAGAGGTCTTCATGGAAAGTGGGTGCCAGGGTGCCATGGGGGGGGCAGTGTGTCACCTGGGGCTCTCTGCTGGAACAGGGCCAATGCCACCATCTGTCCCCATCAAGTGCTCGTGTCTGGCGTCCACGCCAGACTTATAAGGCTTACAAGGCAGTGGGAGGAACTTACCGTGGACCCATAGTTAATAACCATGGTCTGCAGGCCCCACGGTATGCCGAGTCCCACTAGGATGTCAAATACATTGCTTCCTATGGTGTTTGAGACCGCCATGTCACCAAGGCCTAGAGCAGACAATTGACACGTGTCATTCACCAAGATTAGGTTGCTGGAAACCCCTATTTGTGTCCTAGTAGCACTATTCTTCAGAAAGGAATTCCTTCTTCATGGATCCCACATTTCAGAAAATTCTTATGAGGTCTAAATCCACTCCATGAAGTCTAAGGGGCCTCCTAGGGGCTGAATGATGACCCTTGAGATTCCTGTGTTAGAGTCCTAACCTCCAATAGCTCAGAATGTGGCATTTGAAGATAGGATCTTTATAGGATCATCAACTTAAAAAGAGTCATTGGGGTAGACCCTAATCTGACTGGTGTTCTTACAAAAGGGGATACCTGGACACAGCAGAGAGGGAACATGAAGATGGCCATTTACAAGCCAGCGAGAGAGGCCTGGAACAGATTCTCCCTTACGGCCCTCAGGAAGAACCAACTCTGCCAATACCTTGACCTTGGGCTTCTAGCCTCCAGAACCCTGAGACCATACATTTCTGTTCTTTGTGGTGCTTTGTTATGGCAGCCCTGGGAAACGAATATAGGGCCCTTTATCATTTCTCCTGCTGGGTCGGTCCCCTGATGTTCCCCAAGGACCCACTATGTGCTCTGAGGACCCACTATGTGTGTCACCTTATTGAATCCTCCCAGTTATCCTGGGAGGGAGGGGGCATTGTCCTCATGGCATATGACGGAACCAAGGCTTGGGGGCACGCTCGAAGTCACACAGTTTGTGAGTGGTCCAGCATCCTTCACAGAGCCCAGGTGATGGCCCCATGACCTGCGCTCAGAGGATAAGGCATCGGGTCTCATGCCCTGGAGGCTTCTGCAGGGTAAACTCTTTTCTCCCAACTAGACTAGAAGCATCTTAAGAGGCTAGGGGCCTCGCCATCATCCTTTGCTTCCTGCCCAGCTGGCTGGGATCATGCTAGCCACACAATCAAAGGACTTAACAGCTCGAGGGGTATTAAAAGTTAGAAAACAAACGTACAGATAAGACTCCGGCTGCCTGCCATCTGCTCTAACGGGGCCACCTAGCTTTCACCTGACATGACCGTCAGAACCCGGCACAAATGCAAGTGTGCATGCAACGAACGAGCTTGGAACACGAATGTCTGCAGCCCTAAGACGGCTTGGGTCCCTGAGAAGCTTGCAGCCGCTCGGCCCTGCACCCGGACAGCCGGCTCGCGTCCGTCTGAGCACCGGCCCCGTGGGGGGACACTGGGCTACCCCCTCCTCCTGCCCTGTTGCTGTCACCTGCGGACCTCCAGGACCCAGTGCCTCCCTCAGGGACCTCACGTTCTTCCTCCCTGTCTCGGCACCATGCTGGGTGCCTTTAAAATCTTGGTGGTGGTGTTGGGGCGCTGACTCCCGGGGCATCAGCTTCCCAGCGTCTCAGTCTCTGGAACAACGCAGGGACGTGCGACAGCGGTTTTGGGCCAGCTACTCGCCTCTGGTGAGGATGCAGCACCCGCTCGATGGGTCAGGAGGTACGCGGACGCCCGAGTTTGAGAGGAGAGGAGGAGGGGGTCTCAGATTTGGCAGACTTCCCACCCTGCGCCAGTGCTGCCTATCAAGGAAACTTAGGGCAACCTTCTCAAACTTCACGAGCGTAGGACTCACTTGGGGGCCTGGCGGTGGGTCTGGGGCGGGCCCGAGATTCTGCATTTCTTTTTTTAAATTAATCAATTCATTAATTAATTTTGGGGGGAGAGAGAGCAAGAGCAGGGGGTGGGGAGGGGCACAGGGGGAGAGAGACTCTGAAGCAGGCTCCACGTTCAGCTCAGCACAGAGCCCAACGTGGGGCTCAATCTCACAACCATGACCTGAGCCGAAACCAAGAGTCGGATGCTTAACCCACTGAGCCACCGAGGCGGCCTGAGATTCTGCATTTCTTACAAGCTCCCTGGTCAAGCTGCTGCTGCCGCCGCCAGCCTGGACCACACGTGGAGCTGCGAGCCTTCGGGAGCCTAGGATGCAGGATCTCCACGTTAGAGCACGTGGCATGGTCTGCTTGTGCAATGGATTCTGAGCAGAGGTTTCTGGACCCTTTGCCACGAAGAAAGTGTCCATGCTTTAACCATGTCTGCTGGATCCTCGGCCAGTGACCCTGGTGTCACTTTCATGATGATACACTCCACCTGCGCCTTGCCCTCGCTCACTTTCTGTGCCCTCCGCGTTCCACAGGAGTCACCCTGATAGGATGTCCTCCCTCAGAACCCCACCTAGCCCAGGTTCCTACAGAGCCCTTTCTTGACCTCACCGCCCAGGCCTTCACCTTCCAGCATCATGACTCCAGCCCCCAACCAGCCTGGACTCCAGGGTTGGTTGTTTCAACAGCACATTCTCTTACCCCTTGACCTTCCCTGCATCCACCCGGCAACCCCAGCTCTGGGTGAACTTGTCATCTCTCACGTGTGTGTCACTGGAGCTGGGTATGCCTGAGTCCCACTTGGCCAAGCTGACGCCACTGAACATCAGCCAGGCCCTCGACGCTCGGTGGCTCTCCTAGTCCTCACTGCACCGGGTTGAACAGTGCCCTCCCCGCAGCTCGTGTCCTCCCGGCACCTGTGCCTGGGGCTTTATTTGCAAATAGGGTCTTTGCAGATGTGATCAAATTAAAATGAGGTCATACTGAATTAGGATGGGCCCCGATGCAATGACGGGTGTCCTCATAAGGAGAGGGAAGTTTGGACACGGACACACGCAGAGGGATGAACACCACGTGCCGACAGAGGCAGAGACGACAGTGACGCAGCCCTAAGCCATCCGCCCGGCCACCCCCAGAAGCTGCAGGGAGAGGCCTGGAACAGACCCTTCCCTACAGCCTTTGGAGGGAGTGTGGCCTGGCTGCCACCTCAATTTTGGACTTCTAGCATCCAGAACTGTGCAACTACCAGTCTCTTCTTTTAAGCCACCCCGTTGTGGTGTTTTGGTTATGACAGGCCTAGGAAGTGAATATACTCACTTCAGAGGTCACTCAATTAAACCTCGTTCCCCTCAGTTGCTGTCCCCACTGTCCCCACTGTCCACAAGCCTCCGGCCTATGTCAACCACACTCCCACACTTCTCTCCCCTCATCTCAGGTCTTCTCAGGACCGACTGACCCCCTCAGTCAACCCTTTTCTCCTAACTTGGGAGGAATAAAATGTCACTTCCTGCCTGCCAGAGCCCACTTTCCCCTTGGGCACTTCTTTTCTGTCTCCTCTGAGGTGTCATTCTATTATTGGCCCCCAGCGCCCCGCCCCCCATACTTTCACACTTTCATCTGTGGAGGACAATGTGTGGGGGTTCATGCTGGGTTTTGGCCTCACCAGCACACACACCACAATCAATAAAGGTCAGCCCTTTATGGGGCTTTTGTTCTGCATTAAAGAGCATACAGGTACTCCTTACCTTGCTTAACCCGTGTCAGGTAGTGAGCCCCAAAGAAAAACCACTAACCAACCAACCAAGTAACCAAACCCGTATCCATGTTCTAGAATTTTAAGAATAGGAAAACAGTTGGAGGTACACGATACCCCTCTCCCTTTGCCTTCCTGGGACCCGAAGACTTCTTGTTACTATTGTATTTGCTGTAAGAAGTCAGGGCTTCAGCTCTGTTTAATGCCAGACTGGTGATTTCAGAACAAGTTCCTTTGATCCAAGTCTGCAGAAGCAAATGGTTCTAGAGATCTGGATGGAGGTGTTTATGGCTGTCGTATTCTCTCTCCATGGATGGACTCGGATGCATGATGCTTTCCCCTCATCAGCCGGCTCCATAGCAGGATGGAACAGCTACTGGTCAGAAGGGCCATGAACTCTAACCCCAGTAGGGACAGGGGGGCCTGCCCGGTGATGCTCACAGCTGGAGGGGCACCACCCTTACCTTGTCTCGCCACGATTAAGCTGGCCATGCAGTCTGGAACACTCGTGCCCGCTGCCAGGAAAGTGATGCCCATGATGACATCGGGGATCCCAAGCGTGTATCCAATAATTGTCACCTGCAGAAGAGTCGGGGGGGCGGGGGGACATGAACTCCGGGAGGAATACCCAGGACCTTTGCTTATTCCCAGTGCTTCTAACTGGAACGTAGGACTGCTGTTCTATTTGCTGTTTTAAAACATTTAGAAACTGAAGGAAAATAAAAACAAGACCCACAGACGACCACTATTAGCCTTTTCTGTCAGCCCATGGTTCTCAAACTCGAGCCCGTGGAAAAGCCTCTGGCGGGCTGGTTACAATGCAGACTGCTCCCCCCGCCCCCCATGTTTCTGATTCAGGAGGCCTGGGGTGAAGCCCGAGAGTTTACGTTCCTACCCAGTTCCCAGGTGGCTACTGGTCTGGGAACCACACTTGAAAACTCTTGCTTTAGAATATATCCTTGACCTTCTTTTTGGTGGGTGGGTGGGTGGGTGGGGGTGTGTGTATGTGTGTGTGTGTGTGTGTTAGACGCTGTGGATACCCTTCCACCTCGTGTCATCATCTTTGATACTATTTCAAACCGATGTGTGGGGGTCCATGCTGGGTTGGACCTATGGTGGCCCCCCATAGATTTCATGGCGTGGCTGAATGGTTCTAGCCAATCCCTCACCATCGGACAGTGAGGTGGTCTCTTTCTTTGCTCCTACGACCTCACAGCATATAACGTGTATTGAGCACATACTGTATACCAGGTGCTTTCCCAGGTATGTTGCGTATACAGTCTCAGGTACTCTATTATCACCACCCACTGGTGAGGGGGCACTGTGGTTACAGTTATTTTACGCCCAGGGAAACTGAGGCTCAGAGAGGTTATGCAGCATTGCCTGTGGGCAAGAAGCTGGTGAGCGGTGGAGCAGGGATTCTGGGCCAGGTCTTACTGACTTTAAAGGCCATGTTCCTACCTCAATATCATGCACCTTGTGTGTACATCTTTGGGTCCTTATCTTACTGCCTTCTTAGGAAAAGCTCCAAGAAATAGAACTTTCGGATCAAAGGATCCTGATGCAGTCACACACTCTACTGAGAAATTCCTGACACTCGAGAGATGGCTGGCGCCCTGAGCAGGAGCCAGATGGAAAGCCCTAGAAGCATTTGGGTAACCCCATTAGCTCTGGCTTGCCCTCCCTCCCATCTCTACAATGGGAACCGTGGCACCTCTTACGGTTGTTCGCATCTCGACTGATGGCTCCAATCCTAGCGAATGGTTGTGTGATTTAGGAGAAGCTGGTTTGCTTCTCTGAGCCTCAGTTTCCTCATCTGCAAAATGGGCTTGCTAATAAAGATTAAGTGAGAAAATGTGAGATGACAGTGCCTGGCCTGTGCAAGATGTTCACAGATGTATGTTTCCCTTCTCTTTCAGACACCGAGGAGGGCAAAACTGAACCATTGATCCAGCAATGTTCAGTCTACCTTGGCCATGAACGAGATCTCCACAAGTACAACCAGGCCGTGGCTGACAGGCTTTCTTTGGGGGATGCCAGACGTCGTCAATACAGGAGCCTGGGTTATTTTGGCATTATGGGGGATGCCTCCATTCCCCCCCTTAAATCACTGAACTACGTGGCTAAGAAGCTGAAGGATGGAAGAACAGAAGGAAGGTCTTGTGTGTGTGTGTGTGTGTGTGTGCGTGCGTGCACACACCATCCAGGGTGCTTCAGACTAGAGATGCCGCCTGTGTGTGGCATTGCCCCGGACTCTAGCCCTGGGCCCTCTGAGCCCACCTGATACTCAGGCTTCCGATAGGGGAGCAGAACTGAGTCCAGAGCTCTGGGGCTATCTGTGCAACCTTGTGGAAGTCGTGGCCCCCCTCTGGCCTTCAGTCTCCCCAGTGGTGCAAGGGTGCTGGGCAGGACGATCCCTTTCCAAGGTCCCTCCCTTCACACTGACATTCAAGAATTGTTTTCCCTGAAGCCTTAGGGGTGAGAGATATAAAAGGTGGTAAGAGTAAGGGGTGGGCAGATGAGATGCCATTGCTCCCTGGCGGCCCCCATCAGGTCACAAGGAAAGCAAGCTCATGGCCCCAAATGAAGGCTAACATGGGGTGCTATCGTCTTGACCAATTTCTACCATCAGGGTCATTCCATTTCCCCCAAACTGAGGCGGGCTGAAGTTCAAAGCCACAGGTAAGGGTGCCCCAGCCAAGCAGTTCCTGTGACCCCAGGCAAGCTACTTCCAGACTCTCTCTACTTTAAGAAGTGCAGGTGGGCTGACTCGAGGTCATGGGGATGTGAGTGTCGTTAAACATCTGGCCTCACAGCGAATGAGCAGAGCTGATTTCATAATACTGTTGTTTCCAGTAACTGGAGAAGAGAAAGTTTCACCCATTCATTAATTTGATCTTTCCTAATTCTCATACCTACTCCTCAGATGTCATGCAATACTTTTTTTCCCTTACAGTGTTGTTTTGGGAATGTACTTCAGTAAGAGAATTCCCTGGATCCTTCTATCAAATATAAAGATGGGCTGGTGTTAACCTTCTCTGAAAAATGTCCATTTACAAGGGCAATTCGCATAAGGCATCGTTTTCGTGATCCTTGATTATCCTCTACTTGGGGGTTTGGATAGTAGCTGTTTTCAACTCTTCCCACACCCCAACACACACACACACACACACACACACACACCGGCATCTATGAGGATTTTAACCTTTGTCTGGACAAAGCATGGACGCAGCCCTGGCTGTATCTCATGGTGAAAACAGTTGCTATCGATAGTTACGATCGATCAGACATGCTGCCAACTCGAACCACAAAGCCTGAGCAGAGAACTCCATCCTCCCCATGAACTTGTGAGATGGGGACGGTCGTCCCCCTTCTGCAGAGGGGGTGACCGTGGCTCATGGAAGCTGAGTCACCTGCCGAGTTTCACGGCTGGTAAGTGGGAGATCTAGGATTCAAATGCATTTCCATGTGACCCCACAGCCCTCCCCTCCCCACAGGGTGGTACACGGAGCAACGGGGAAAGGGGCTCCTGCTTACCGCCCCCCACCCACAGCCAATGAAAGGTTTGTACAGGGAGCTGTCACGCGTGGTCAGAGGTGCTTACAAAGAGCTATGCCAAAGCCTCTCTGCCTGCAAAACTTCAGTCCAAATGGCATCTGAAAACTCCATAAGAAATTGAGGGGCATTTCGGGATAGTCATTGAGATCATGGACTCAGGAGCCCAACTCTAGAATTTACTGATTATGTAACTAATCGTATAATAGTTGATAATTGTGCAACTGGGCCAATTACTCAATCTGGATGCCTCAGTTTCCTCATCTGTAAAATGGGCAAAATAAAAACCCCTATCCCACTGGGTTGTTATGAGGACCAAATGAGTTTATTGGTAGGGGTTACAGAAAAGACTGCCTTGTGTTCCTCTCCCACTGACTTGTCTCCCTCACCTTCCCCCAGGGGCCCTGGAAAGGAAGGGGGACTAGGCACTAGCTCTCCAGAGATCTTCCCGCCATATTCCTTTTCCCATCGCACCTGAGCAGCGGATCTCAGAATCTCTTCTCCTGCTCCCACGCTTGCCTTGAACGTCAGTGCCATGCTGTGTCTATCCGGGTATCCCTGGTGCCAAGCACAGCCCCAGGCACCTCTGCTGAAACCCCCTTCTACTGAGAAATAAGCCAACGTCTGCAAAGGGAGGCGACTTGCTCAAGGTGGCACCACCGTGTCTGAGGTCGCTCTTGAACCCAGCTCTCCCACCTCCAGCAGGTGCTGGGCAGGGGCTGTCTGTACGGCCCACCCCCGCTTCCGCCACTCACCAGCCACACCATTAGGTAGGAGAAGACAGCGATCCACAGCGTGGCGGTGATGAAGGTGACCATGAAGTATTTCTCCCAGCGGGGCTTGCTGCAGTTGGGGATGGTGATGCACAGGAGGAAGATGAGTGGCCAGGTGAACACCCACTTGGCTTTGTCCCCTCTTGCCTCTGCAGTGGGATGGGGTGGAGCCAGAAGGGGGAGGAGAGAAACATATACCAGGTTACACACCTACTAGTCTACCTGCCTATCACTTTGTGTTTTAGTAGTTTCTTCATCCATTAAACGGAAACATTTTCTTTCTTGGTTGTTGCAAGAATGACATGATATAATGTACAAAAAAGACCCAGCACACACTGTGGCATATAGTTAGTACTCTGGAAATCTCAGCTCCTTTGTTCCAAGGTCATATACTCTGCTTGTTGTAGATACAAGACTAAAATACTCAGTGTCTGGCTGGCAGGCGTGACCCCACTGGCCCCTACCAACAGAATCCACAAACAATTCAACCACGGAAAAGTGGCCTCACTAAGCCACTGGGTGCAAGCATAGTGTCCTTAATTAGCCACTGAGTACGGTGGGCACATGCAGGCTCAAAATTAGCTTGTTGGCCACGCCAATGAAATCATGGAGGACGGACTTCTGAGGATTCTCTCCTCCACAAAGCAATGAGAACACGGGCAAAAATGGTCAGAATCAGCCTTTTTCAGAACTTTGGAAATTAACCAAAGGCATGTAGTAATTCCAGCAGAGTTTCCTTAAGAAAATTGGCAGGATCTCATTGAGAACAGTGAGCTTTGTGGAGTTTTAACTTGCTTTATTTTCCAGTCCCTTCCACCAGCTCTGGAGTCGCCTTGAGAGCCAGCATCCTGGCATCCACCACAGGGGGCAGGGCTGAAGCTTCTTCCAAGTCCATTCTCAGAGAACTGGCTTTATTTGACCTCTCTGGTGGTTTTCTGGAAGATCCCACTTTCAAGGCTGTCTTTATTTTTCCTGAATCAGAGCTCAGCCAGTGTGAATAGCATTTTCCTTGGGGCATTTGTTGAAAACAATCAGAGGCAACTGTTCAACATCACACTGTCCAAGGTGGTTGGGTAACAGTTGAGACAAACAATGAACTGGCCAAACAGCTTAAAAGGCAAAACTGGGGAATGGGATATCTATAGAGGGCTTTGCAAAGCTCCCACATATTTGGGAATCTAAAAGACCATGAGTATGCATAGGGCTGTGCCCGCTGATATTTGCATGCTCAGTAAAGATTTGAGGATGCCCTAAGCTTTCACCTCTGCCTAATGTTGAGGCTCTGAGCAAGTAAGAAAGTAAAAACTAAGGTAGATTTGTGAACTATCTGCCTCAGTGTTGAAGGTGTGTCCCCAAACACACACAGAACTTAACGGCAAAGACTGGAAGACTTACTTGGTCTAGGCATCTAAGGAAATCTCTGTGCAATCATTAGATGACCTTAAGAGAACCTAGCAGATATTTCCGTGTCCACACACAATGAAGAAGACAAATTTTACAGAATTACCTGAAAACAGTGACTAAACAAACAACAGCAATAAATAGCAGTGACAAGCAGCCCTGGGAAGGGAGAAGAATATGATTTCTAGCATTGTCAAACTATATTATTTTAAATGGCCAGTTTCCAACAATAACATCAAATTATGAGACATGCAAAGAAAGAAGAAAGTATGGTCCATACACAGGAAAAAAAAAATCAGTCTAAACTACCTCTGAGGAATTACAGACATTGGATTTACTAGACAAAGACTTTACTTTTTATTATTATCATTATTTTTAAAGATTTTATTTATTTATTTGAGAGAGAGAGAATGAGAGAGAGCAAGCACATGAGAGGGGGGAAGGTCAGAGGGAGAAGCAGACTCCCCGCCGAGCAGGGAGCCCGATGCGGGACTCGATCCAGGAACTCCAGGATCATGACCTGAGCCGAAGGCAGTCGCTTTACCAACTGAGCCACCCAGGCGCCCTACTTTTTATTATTATTTTAAAGTTTGTTTATTTACTTATTTACTCATTTATTCATTCATTTTAGTAATCTCTACTACACCCAGCGTGGGGCTCAAACTCATGACCCCAAGATCAAGAGTAGCACGCTCTTCTGACCAAGCCAGCCAGGTGCCCCTAGACAAAGACTTTATATTAGCTGTTTTAAACATATTCACAAAATGTCTAAAAAAACTAAAGAGGAGAGAATGATTTCTCACCAGAGACTATCAATAAAGAAGTAAAAACCATAAAAAAGAACCAAGAGAAATTCTGGAGTTGAAAAGTAAAATAACTGAGAAATTCACTGTTGGGGCTCAACAGCAGATTTAAGCAGGAAGAAGAAATCAATCAATGACCTTGAGGATAGGCCAGCTGAGATGATCTAGTTTCAGAAACAGAAAGAAAAAGGGAAAAAAATGCAGGAAAAATACCCGAAGAACTCACATTCAGAAAGTTCCCAAATCTGATGAAAAACATTAACATATACATTCAAGAAGGATATACATTATTCTCAAGCTCACATAAAACATTCTTCAGGATAAACAACACCTCAGGTCATAAAAACAAGCATTGATACATTTAGAAGGATTTAAGTCACATGAAGTATGTCCTACAACCACTCTGCAATGGAAAAAACTTAGAAATCAGTAACAGAAGGAAAACTAGAAGTTCACAAATATGCAGAAATTAAAGAACATGCTCCTAAATAACCAATAGGTCAAAAAAGAAATCACAAGGGAAATTAGAAAATACTTTGAAATGAATGAAAATGAAAACACAACATACCAGAACTTATGGGATGCAGGAAAAACAGTGCTTAGACATTTATAGCTATAAATGACCATACTAAAAAAGAAGAAAGAGCTTAAATCAATGACCTAATCTTCCTCCTTAAGACAAAAAAAAAAAAAAAGAAAAGAGCAAAGTAAGCCCCAGAAAAGAAATAATCTAGATTAAAGTGGAATAAAATAGAATTTTTTAAAAAAAGAAAATCAATGAAAATAAAAGTTGGTTCTTTAAAAAGATCAATGAGGGGTGCCTGGGTGGCTCAGTTGGTTAAGCGTCTGCCTTTGGCTCAGGTCATGATGTCAGGGTCCTGGGACTGAGTCCCCCATCATGCTCCCTGCTCGGTGGGGAGCCTGCCTCTCCCTCTCCCCCCCACTTGTTTTCTCTCTCTCTCCCTCAATACATAAAATCTTTAAAAAAATAAAAGATCAATGAAATTGACAAACTGTTAACTAGACTGACCATGAAAAAAAAAAAGAAGACTCAAATTACTAAAATCAGGAATGAAAGAGGATGACAGTTACGTGCCTCACAGAAATAAAAAGAATTATTAAAGAAATACTATGAACAATAGTGTGCCAACAAATTACATAACCTAGATGAAACAGACAACATCCTACAAAGATAAAGATACCAAACCTGACTAAAAAAGAAAAAAAAAATCCAGTAAGACTTATAACAAGAGATTGACATAGTAAAAAAACAAACAAACAAAATAAACAAACAGAAAAACTTTCCTTAAAGTAAGGCCAGGACCAGATGTCTACCAAATGTTTAAAAAAGATTTAGCATGAATCCTTCACAACTCTTCCAAAAGGTAGAACAGAAAGGAACAGCTCCCCATTCACTCCATGAAGCCAGAATTATCCTGGTAGCAAAGCCAGACACCAAGAGAAAAGAAACACAGACCAATATCCCTTATGAATATAGATGCAAAAATCTTTAACAAAATTCTGGCAAACTGAATCCAGCGAACATATAAAAAGGATTATGTACCATGACCAAGTGGGATTTATCCCAGGAATGCAGGCTTGGTTCAAATATGAAATTTAAACCATCCAGTATACCATGTCAATAGAATAAGGGGGAAAAAAACCCTGCATAATCATGTCCACTGAGGCAAAAAGAAAAAGACAGGCATTTAACAAAATTCAACACCTTTTCAAAACACTCAGCAAACTAGGAAGAGAAGAGAATTTCTTCATCCTGATAAAGGGCATCTATAAAACCCTCACCGCTAACATCACAGTTAATGGCGGAAGACTGAAAGCTTTCAACATGATGAGGATGTCTGCTCTGATCATTTCTATTCAATATGGTACTGCGTTAGCCAGGAACACTAGGCAAGAAAAAGAAGTCATTCAGCTTGGAAAGAGAAAGTAAAACTATCCCTATTTGTATATGGCATGATCTCTCTTGTAGAGAGAACGTTGTAAAAAGTCCACATACACACAAAAAACTATTACAGTAAATCAATTTAGCCAAGTTGCAAGATAAGAAGATCAATATACAAAATAAGGTTGTATTTCTACATGCTGACAATGAACAATCCAAAAATGAAATTAAGAAAACCAGTTCCATTTACGATAGCAGCCAACAAAACAAAACAAAACAAAAACAACCCTTAGGAATAAATGTAACAAAAGATGTATAAGATTTATATGCCGAAAACTACCAAACAAACATTGAAGGAAATTTAAAAAGCCTTAAATAAATGGAAAGCTATTCTGTACTTGGATCAGAAGATTTAATATTAAAATGGAAATGCTCCCCCAAAACTGATCTACAGACTCAATGCAATCCCTGTTAAATCCTAGCTGACCTTTTTTTTTTAATAGAAATTGACCAGCTGTTTCTAATAGTTATATGGAAATGCAAGAGACCCAGAATAGCCAAACTAATCCTGGAAGAACAACAAAGTTGGAGGACTTACATGCCCTGATTTTAGAATTTAATACAAAGCTACAAGCAATCAAGAGAGTATGCTACTGGCATAAGGATTTATAAATCAGTGGAGGAGGATTTTGAGTCCAGAAATAAACTCATCCATTTAAGATGAATTGATATTTAAAAAGGGTGTCAAGACTATTCAATAGGAAAAGGACAGTCTTTTTTAACAAATGGTTCTGGGACAACCTATCCACATGCAAAAGAATGAAATTAGACCCCTCCCTCACACCACATACAAAAATTAACTCAACATATTAAAGATCTAAATATGAGGTGAAACTATAACATTTAGATGAACATGAAGGCACAGCTCTTCATGACACTGGATCAGGCAACGGTTTCTTAAAAGACACCAAAAAACACAAACAAAAGAAAAAAATAGATACACTGGGTTTTACCAAAATTTAAAAGTTTTGAGCTGCAAAGG